CTGGAACTGGAACGAATCCAGAGGAGGGCCACAAAGATGATCTGAGGGCTGGAGCACCTCTGCTATGAAGACAGGCTGAGAGAGTTGGAGCTGTTGAGCCTGGAGAAGAGAAGGCTCTGGGGTGATCTTATAGCAGTCTTCCAGTACCTAAAGGGAGCCTACAGGAAAGCTGGAGAGGGACTTTTTACAAGGGCGTGTAGTGATAGAACAAGGGGCAATGGATTTAAACTGAAAGAGGGGAGATTTCGATTAGATATAAGGAAGAAATTTTTTACATTGAGGGTAGTGAGGCAGTGGAACAGGTTGCCCAGAGAAGTTGTGGATGCCCCATCCCTGGAAGTGTTCAAGGTCAGGTTAGATGAGGCTTTGGGCAAACTGGTGTAGTGGAAGATTTCTCTGCCCATGGCAGGGGGTTTGGAACTAGATGATCTTTAAGGTCCCTTCCAACCCTAACCATTCTATGATTCTATGATTTTAATACAGTTACTATTTAAAATAGGTGGCCACTTATTTTTGACCCATTGCCAATGAAGTAAGTTTCTAGTAAAAAGTTGGCATTTCCTGGACAGAATTTTTAAAGTGATATTAAAAACCCCTGTTATCTTTTTAAGTAAGCTGAGTAATGCGCACACATGAAATACATACCTTACAGAACTCAAAGGAATTTAAGGTGATTTATAAGGTTATCAGTAATTACTTAAAATTATTTGACTGCTCAGGAAAAGAGAAGCTTCTTCCTCAAACCACTAGCTGTTCTGTACTTACTTCTTCTGGAATTTCCCACTGTAGTTTGGTAGGAAGAGGAATGTTTTGATTGCTATCTCCTTTGCAATGCCCATCTTCTGAGTAGCCCAGTTCAAGATACTCAGTTGCCATTACATTCTGCAAAGAATGATACTTCTTCAGAATTGCAACACATTTCATATTGCTGTGGAATCTGGATTTCATTGTGAAATCAATATAACCCATTTTCAGTACATAGCGAAATACAATATACAATCCATTTCCAAATACTGAAAATTGCTGCAAGCGAAGCCCTGTGTTTTACCTCTTATTTTAAGGCATTTTAACTTGCGTTCTGAGTGGGAAGAATACCAGATATGCACAAATAGCTATTCAATTACACTAGTACATTTTGTTAGATGCTACTGAATTAATCAAAACATTTTAATTAAAAACCCCAGCTCAAACTTAGCAGTAGTAAAAAAAAAGTCAGTCTTAGATGTCACCTTTGTTCAATATAGATTCTAGAGAATTTCAGCAAGTTCGTTATCTGTCAAAACTTGTTCATCAAGAAAAAGTTTATTTCAGACTAAGTGTATTTCCCTGCAAGAATTTTATCATTTTTAAAATCTGCATTCCACTCAAAACTGCAGTATATTTTATATATGCACTAGAGCTTTTGGGTGAGGAAGTAGAATGTTTCCAAGATGAACACTACAACTTGAGTAACAGACAAAAAAGGCTCTGTCTTACAAGATTTCAAACAACATTCTCAATGTAAAAAAAACCACGCAAAACCAAACCAAAACAAAAAAAACACCACAGAATTATCAATAGATTTGAATCTGTTCAATATGGAAAGAAAAGTCTTGACAAAAATCTGTTACATCTTCACATATATGTCTAATCTCTTCTTTTAGTTTAATTTTCTCAGTGGTCAGAACATGGAAACTATGAAATAAAGCTTAATCCATCCTATTCTAAAAATAGACAATCTATAAAAAGCCAACGACAGATAACTTTTTAGGAAATGAAATCTTACTGAGTCTATTTTGGTCTTCTTAATTCTTAGCAGAAACTGAACCAACTAATAGTACAGAAATATGAACTAAAGCATATAACATTCATTAAAAAACCTGAAGTAACTGTTTTTCATTGAGCTAGTCTAAACTGCACTGTCAAGTCAATTTCAAATCACTTTGGCTTCTTTCTTCCCTGGTTAAAGAATCCAATGAGGATTTTTTGTTCTTACACACATGGAAATGCACATATAATAAAATTAGGAAATTACTTGGGGCATCAGTCAGACCTGAGACTCATTCGCACCAATACACAATGAAATCAGAATTAGCTAATGTTTATGAAACAGTTTTCAGTGATTGAGTCATGTAACTGTTGATGGGTTTAAGCTTCAAAAAGAAAAAGAAAAAAAAATCAAATAGGATTTCAAGTAATAAACTAAGCTTATGATGAACAAACCTGACAAAAAGTGCATTTATTTCATTCATCGTAAATAAATAAAATAGATAATTTAAACAGCATATCAATCTGCAGCTCATCAAACAAAGGCTTAGAGGACAAGTTAAACTCTGTACTGTTTCTTTAAATTTTGAAAGTAAGTGTGGCATTTTTATAGCACAAGAAATTTTAAGTGCTTCAGGAGCACATATATATGCAAAATACAATGCCATATCAAAGAGGCAACAATCTATTGGTTTAGAATATTATGAACAAGTTAGATGGGGAGCTATATCACTTTTCTCTGAAGGCATCTATGCTCAGTAAAACGCAATAAAGACTTTTAATTTAAAGGACAGCAACCTTTTCTTGTAAGCAACGGGTTTTTTTAAATTCTACAGTCGCTGCAGACACGGGCCCATAATCACTTATCAGCAACATGAATGCAAGAGATTGCAAGTAACAGACCACATCACATTATCTTCTGCATTCACATTTTGTACTAAACACCTACCTCCCACAGGTGTCCAACAATAGGAGCATCTGCCCAAGAGTGCTCTGCATTCAGACCTATTTTGCCATTTTTGAATACTATAAGAGTGAATGTTTTATCAAACCACCTACAAAAGAAATAAAGATCTCCTTACGGTTTTGTATATTTCAAAAGCATTTTTATACTGTAACATCATCTCTCTCAAAAACGCACATTCAAATGCACTAGTTCTTGGCTTTTTTTTTTAAAAATAAGAGATTATTTAAATAAAGAGACATAAATTTGCACCTCATGAAGTTCAACCATGAGAACCTCATGAAGTTCAACAAGGCCAAGTGCAAGGTCCTGCACCCAGGTCAGGGCAATCCCCAGTATCAATACACTGAGGAATGAATATATTGAGTAGTCCAGCAGAGAGTGACTTGCGGCAACAGTGGACGAAAGATTGGACACGAGCCGGTAATGTGTGCTTGCACCCCAGAAAGCCAATTATACCCTGGCTGCATATAGGAAGCAACATGGCTGGCAGGTTGAGGGGATGCGATTCTCACCCTCTGCTCTGCTCTTATGAGACCCCATATAGAGTACTGCATGCAGCTCTGGGGTCCCCAGTACAAGAAAGACATAGATCTGCTAGAGCACGTCCAGGAGAAGGCTATGAAAATGGCCAGAGGGCTGGAACACCCCTCCCATGAAGAAAAGCTGAGTGTTGGGGTTGTTCAGTTTGGAGAAGAGAAGGTTCTGGGACACTTTCTTGTGGCATTTCTATGTATTAACAGGGCTTATAAGAAAGACTGAGAAAGACATTTTTACCAGGGCCCACAGTGACAGGACAAGAGGCAACAGTTATAAACTGAAACAGGGTAGATTTAAATTTGTCACAAGGGAGAAATTTTTTTACAATAAGGATGGTGAGACACTGGAAGAGGTTTCCCAGAGAAGCTGTGGATACTTCATCATTAGAAGTGATCAAGGTCAGGCTGGATAGGACTTTAAACAATCTGATTTAGTGAAAGACGTCCCTTCCCTGCCCATGGTCTTTGAAGGTCTCTTCCAACCCAAATCATTCTGTGATTCTATGAAATATCAGCTTATAAGGCACTAACTCATGTTCATTAGCCACGTAAATTAGTGAAATTCTAAAAAAGAGAAAGCATTTTCCACAGAGTCAATACTGTACCTGTCATAACATTTGCCATGTATTAAGGATTTTGCATATGCATCCAGTGACCTCACTGGATCTTCTTTCCTGTACCCTTGCTCGACGTCATCCAATGTCACAAAAAATGCTGCTTTTTCAACAGCATCTAAGGACTGTTTGTTCTTTCCACTGCTAAAATAAGCCTGCCGAGCTGTAGCCCATGGTACTCTGCAAAAAGAATTCGGTTTAAAGCCAGATTACATGAATTTGTCAATGTTTTTTCACGCTTAAGATCACTATGAGACATTCCTCCTACTTTTATAAAATTTGAAGGAACTGCTTTCACTGCATTTAAACTATATCAGCAGTGAAAAGTTCTGAAAATACATGTACAACATAATCCTAGGAACCAGTTCAACATATCACGTGTGTGTGAAGCTTAATCCTCAGAAATTGAACATTTCTGCAGCACACAATATGTATAGCATAGATCATCTACATTTATAATTGAACAAAAGAAAATATCCCAGTAAAAAAAGTATGTTAAAATCCACAGCGCTCTCCCTCCCTTGTCCAGAAACAACTAGGCAGATTAAACTAAGTTTGTCACAATTTAATTGAATTCAATGATCCTGCACCTAGAACCAGCTGAGCTCATACCACTTTATTTTGTAGGTGCAAGTCATGAATAAGGAGTAAGTTACTGAATTCACAATCTTAATTTTTAAGATATTCTTTAAAATGCCATTGAACCCTCAAGTAGTTCAATATGTGTAATACTATAAAGCTTCCAATTGCCGTTATTAAGATAATCACAATTAAACCAAACTTCTCCAGCTAAGTACAGATAATCTGTATACAGGGTTGCCACTGCAAAATTACTTTTAACTCCATGTAGTTACAAATGACTGAAGAGCTATTATGTGTTGGCAATATACAAAATCGGTGATCAAGGTGTAGTCAACTGACTGCAGACTATTTTAAAATTCCAAAGCCAATATTCAATTAGCATGTTATACACCTATTTGTAAATATAAAAATTAATTTTAAAATAATAAACACAATACCTATCTCCGGCAGTAAGAGCTGCTAGTTTCTCTTCACCAGCCTGAGGCTCTGAATCATCATCAAGAATTCTTTGCATCTGCTGTTCAATTTCTCGGGGTTTCAACAGCCTGCCATCATGGTACAGCCACACTTTGAAGTAACGGCCCTTATGATACACAACAATGTGCTTGCTGTCTTTCACATGCTGGAGAGTATCTAGAATTGCAATCATTTATGTGAAAACAAAGCTGAGGTCTCAAAACGCTAATGCACTAAACAACATCATCAATGTTACAATGACAACATGCATCAAATGCCTAAATGCACTAAACAGCATCATCATGCACCACCAGTTAGCCACAGCTTAGTTATTTTAACTAATAAACAGTGTGGAATAAATCACCTCTCCATGCTGTATCAGCACAAAAGTTTCTCATAAAACAGTCAAATACCCAGATTTCATAATCATTTGCATATATAGCACCACCAGCTTCCCCACTGGTGCCAACATTAAGCAACCAAATCTATATTTCTGTATCTGAAAAGTAAGCACCAGTAGTGTAATCTGACTAAACAGTCAGCAAAAGAACACGCTAGATGAGTCTGAGCAAAGGTACTTTTAAATCATCTGCATTCAAGTGCTAGATAACACATGGTACAATCTGTGGGGAACCTTAAGAGGGCCCGAATTTAGTACCATAAGCTTTTGTTCATGTTTATCCTGGCAGATCAGAGTGAATATCCCATCTATGGCCAAAAAGTTTAGCGTTATGAAAGTCAGTGAAGCAGAAACCTAGGCCACAAATTTTTCCGCATTTTATTATTTATATAGCTAAATTGTGATAAGCCTGAACTTAGTCATGAAGGCATTGTATCAAACTACAGATGAAGGTTTCTACAGCAGCCAGGAAAAGCCTTAAATTGATGAAAACTTAAACGAATTCCTTCACTGCCCCAAAGAACTGTTATATTCCTATGAATCTGAAAAGATCCGTTACTGAGATGGTGAAGAAAGCTGATATCAAAAATGAAGGTTGAGCCTAAAAGTCTTGACTCAGAGATCTGAGAAACACTGTACCAGGAAAGAGTTCAATACTTTGGGTGCTCTCAGCTATCCATAACTTTTGGCAGCTATGCTACATCTACTGATGAGAAGCAGTTTTATGCTAGTCATGCCTTTGCGTTTCTGCCAAAGATAGGATGCCCATGACGTAAGTGCTAGGATTGGCGGAAGCATCCCTCCAACTGCCAAGTACATTAACACAATGGCTTGTGAATTGAGAAGAAACCTCACAGAGGAGGAAAAGAAGCAGCAAAGGAATCAGCTAGTGAGGTAACTTTTTCTATAATCCCAACCTGAGTCAGGACACTTCAAGTATTTGTCTCGTGTGTCTGTACAAAAAAAAAGACAACCCCTTGAGTGTAAAAAGCAAAAGTGAGATCATTAGTCATCTACATCAACAACTGACTTCACAAAAGTTGTTAAGCCCTGGCAATTACCTTTCAGACACCTTACTTATGAGCCTAAATACATATTTATGCACCTGAAGATTTGTTGTAATACAAAAATAATCCTTTCCTTTTTCTTGCCAATCCAAGAAGTCATTTATGTACATCTGAAGATGCACGTAACATGCTGCACGGGTTTCTCTACTCAAAAAATGGGAATAGAAGGACATAAAGGCTCTTGCCTGCTTAAAAGAAGTGACTCACTCCATAGTGTATTTTGTTAAAAGGTAAGATTAAACAACTGCTCAAGTGACAAGGTACAATGTTCATTAAGATTTTACCGCTAACAAACATGAAGATATGCCATAGAATTTTTTTTCATTTTATTATTTTTTAAAGACGCTGCTCTTTCAAGAACTGTAACATACATAAAATACTTAAAATATCATCGAAATCAGAGGACATGAAATCAAGCTACTCATGAGAATCTGGCAAAAAGTTTTTATAACCCACATACAGAATGACAAAGTTGTTATTCCTTTAGAAAAATAGAAACAATGAAAAACTGAAAAAGCAAAACAGGAAATGTGAAGTGCTTAGGAGGAAAATAAGGTAATTTCAAGATGCTGACTGTACTTATTTGAAATGCTTTAAGCAGGACAAACTGAGGAGAACCATTAAGATACACAGGATGTATTTTAATCAGGTGTTATAGTTAGAATGGGCCACTTCTACGCTTTCATGCAAAACTCATTTCAGACAAAGCAAACAGCCAATCCAAACCTAAATGCAAACAGTTCGTACCTTTTACTTTATTGAGGACAGGGAAGGGGCAAGGGCAAGGCTTTCAGTACTTGAAGCATTCTAAATAACAATAGCTCGTACACCACAGCTGTCTAACAGAGATTTTACAACTTGCTAGTCTACTTAAGCTATTAGTTCATGATCAGGGAGTAATCACATCAGGAATACGTTCTTCTCCATTCTGCAGATAAAGGAACCTGAGGCATAGCTGGGAAATAATTCCTCTATAATTTACCTAAGGCCAGCAACAGAACTGAGAGTAAAACCTCTATCTGACACATGCACCTACTGCTTTATCCACTAGCCAATGCCACTTCTTCCCCTTATCCAACTTCATGCAATACAGCAATTGTCAGACCTCCAGGAGTGAAGAGTGGGCACATCTCTATGTCTGTTTAGAAACCCTATGTTTTTTATTCTGTAGCTGAGCAGGACTAACATGCTTAAAGGCAGCTTGTAACATACGAGTGAGTTACAGATCTCAAAGAAAGTAAAAAAACATATCCTATCTTCAAGTGACAGCCGCTACATAGATTCCCAGAGGAGATAAATAACCAATAATCCCTTGCATTCAAAAGTCCTAGTGATTGTTCTCTGCACTAATCATGACTGTCAGGATAACTCTGCCAAATACCGCGTTTCGTTCTGATGCTGCCACAATGATGCAGTGTTCGATAAACATTTGAACTCAGTTCTAAGAGGTTCTTCAGCATATAACCAGATCAGAGAAACTTAGATATGGCTTAAGCTTTTGTAGAAAGCACGACAGAAATCTCCACTCAAATCTGCTGTGAAATTATTAGTTTGCTTCTCAAAGAATGCGAAAATGGACAGCAATGTTTTCTTTCACCAGCTGACTACAAATGTTATTATTTCTAGATGCAATTTACCTTCTTTTACAGTGACAAAACTCAGGAAAACAAACAACAAAAAGCCACTGTAATATTAAGCTCATAAAAAACAGCCTAAGCCTGGAAAATTTAGAATAAGCTGATGGAGATCTTTGCAGTCTACCTTGGGAAGAAGCCCATGATGAACCTTCAGGGAGAGATTGCCTTTAGAAAAATAACACCACATAGAGAAGAATCAGTCTCAAGATCTTGGATGATGTATTGGCCATCAAAAAAAAAAAAAAGGTATTTTTATGTTGTGACACAACAATTAGACAATGGCAAACTTTTATCAAAAGTGAAATGCTTTTATGTCTACAGGTAGCATTAATGAATGCATGCAATTAGAGCATATGTACACCTACAGTGAGGAAGTGTATTATGAACTGTCACTTACAATTACTTTTTTTTCACTGAGCTAACATGATTGCTTATGTTCACATAAACACATCCCACAATAAGCAGAAGCTGCAGGAGCACTCGGGTGAAAATGACCCTGTTGTAAGTCCACATGTACACACACCCCTCTAGTCAACATTAAAATGTTACTCTACTCGTAGCTTAGGATAATCAGAACATTGCTGGGAGTTCGGGCAGGGCAAGAACTAAAAAAACCCAGAGTATATATTCTCTTAATGCGTTACGGAGAAAGTTTTGGTCACAGTCCTTATCACAGGTGATTTCACCTGGCTGATATCTTACAGTCCACACAAAAGGTCAAGATAACATCGACACTGAAAGCCTTGCAAGGCTAAGGCTGTATCTGCCTCTAAACCAGGTAAACAATGATTGTTGAACATACGTTCATATTGAGAAGAACTCATTGGGATGTTGTTGTAAATGATAAGCCAAAAGGAAAAAGGGAAAGTCAAGGAAGCAAAAGATTTTAAAATGGTTGAGATAAGAGAATACAACTTTTACAAAGATGGATATCAAAGGATCCTGAAAGAGTAGAATAGAGAAAAGTAAAGGTTATTTATAAATCAAAAACATGGGCAGACAACAGCTTCTTGAAGTTAGTTTCTAATTTAAGTAAAGAAAGAGACAAAAAGACACTGAAGAAGTTTCAAAATCACCCCAAAAAGGAAAAATATCTATACACTCTATAGCAATTCATTAATTTGAATACTGAAATACAGTATTGATGTGTCCTTGTGTCTGTCAGATCCTTATATGGAAAAACCAGGATTTTAGCAGAAAATACCCCAAAAACTGAATTCCATTAACATGTTCATTCTCCTTGGCTAACTCTGCTTACCTGATTCCTTTCCTGGGACACGGGAGGTGTTAAACATCCGCTCCCACTGAGCTGAGCAGAGTGGAATAGTAGATCCCAGCAGAAGAATCTGTGCCACAAATGTACATCAAAATGTAATTTTTCATATACAATTAACAAATTAAAAAAGAAAGAAAAAACAGGATCTGGTTAAAGACAGGCTGTTGAACAGTAGGATTTATAACACATCAATGCAAGTTGTGGTTTTTTTCTGCCCTGTTCATTGTCTTTCCTTGAACTACATGTGGAAGATTCCACTGGCAATCCAGTAGCTGTATTTTTTTTTCCCCTCCTACCAAAAGCTCAGGAGGGATGACTAGCTAGCATCTGAAATCCAAAGAGCTCTCAGTGGCCAGTCCAGATTCAAAACTTACACATGAAGCATGCATTACCCCTTAATTTCTTCTTTTAAAGCTATTTCTGGCTGTGTAGGAACAAAAGTTCACATTTCTCAGATTTGTAGTTCAATACAACTAATCACATCCTTCCCATGACCTTCAACAAAACAACAATTGTTTCCACAATATTTGTTTGCTACAACACACAGCCACTGGACAGAGCAGAAATTCAGAATGCGATGCACCTTGCCTATCTTTGCTACCTAGAAATTAGTGCAACACAGGATTTTACAATCATCTCTACTTAGGCTGTCGCTGGCCCACTCTTGGCCTCAACGTCCAGTCCTTTGTCCCAATCACCCCTTGTGCTCACAAGATACCACAAACTTTTCAGACTTCAGTGGCTCAAAAGTACCGTCACATGCTTAGGACATACCAGTAACATCAGTTATACAGAGTAGTTAACATGCAAGTACAAGACTCTATTTGTCTTTTGGGCAACAGCATACACTAATTTCAAATACTGCAATTAGTTGGCATGACAGAATCCTGTATTTTTGATAGCTGGCAGTTTCTGCACGTGTGCAATTCAAGCAATAACCAAGATGTTTGGGATCACAAATTTAGTTACATCTTACATGCAGTTCTGACAATAAGACATTTCTCTCCTTTCCCATTCTGAAAACTGATCAACTTCTTACAGACCGTGCTGGAAAAAGATCAAAAGTCATTTAAACCGATATACATACTGGCTTGATTTCTTGTCTGTCCAGTTTTTTCCGGTAGAGCAGGATAGCATGGATAACGTTACCCGCTCTAGCTGCCTGCAGAGTTGTGGGAGATAAATAAAGGAAGTCCTGTAAAGTACATAAGAATCATAAGTTAATGATTACCAGACTACATTTAAAAAAACCTCAACTGATAGTACTTATCCATGTTTTTAAAGTTTATTCTGGTCAATACAGAATATGAAGTGCACTAGTGCAGTGAGTTGATGATTTGAAACTTAAATTTCTTCAACAGTGAAAATCTCCTTAAGCAGCATCAGTTGTAAAATGTACATGATAGCTGTTTGTTAATCATCCCAGTAGAAAAGGCAACACTACTTATAACTCAAATCCAAGACTACCATATTTCCTCTTTTCACTTTCAATTTTAGGGTCTTTTACAATTTTTCTTCCCGTACAGACATTTGCAGACATGAGCACACACCACATTGAACTGCATTATCCATGAAGTTTTACGCAGAACTTTTGAAAGATTGCTTGTTGCATTAAGCACAAAACTGTGCAGGAGTTTGCCCAAGTGGCAGATGTGCTAAGTTTATTATTAAGATAGCACTGTACTTGAAAACATTGGCTGCAGGTTATACTAGAAGGAAGAAATACAAAGGTCACGTACTCAGTGGAGATGGGTTTCTAAAAGGAAAGATGTCATGAAATAAGATACCTGGGAGAAATTTTACAGTGCTTCTTTAATACACAAAGTCTTTGTAGCATTTACCTACCATTGCAAAATAGTTACTATTAACCATAATCGGTCCACGTCCTCTCAGGTAGATATATTCTTCCCACCAATCACTAACCTATAGCAGGAAGGAAAACAAAAGCAGTAAAATCTCCTGATTTCCACAGTGTCTTCTATGTTAATTACTCCACAACACAACATTCCATATGGAAGCAGGAAGAAAACTGCTAACTTGCCCCCCTACTTAAGAAAGACAAAAAACCTCACTAATTTGTGTTAAACTTTAGGGAAAACAGCAAAAAAGGAGTGAGACAATTACATTAAATTCAGTTGTAGCTCTTTGATAAGCTTCTGAAGAAGTCATCATCTTCAGATATTTAAAATGTATCAGGTCTCCTGAATGTTTTGCAGCCTTTGTCAGGACACTGTAGCTCAGCTTAGGCTACTGGATACAGCTAGATATTTGATAATATATCAGGAAGGAATTATATTCAGTTCTCACCATGACGTTGGGGTTTAGGTTTTGGTAAAAAACACTCAACTTCTTGTAACAATTCTTTATTTCTCTTCCATATGCTTTAGCTGCTATGTAAAAAAAAAAACTTGTCCTAAACGACTCTTCTAAACTACCTGGTAGCGAGGCCCATTGTTGAGTTATCAAGCTTAACAAACAAATAAACAGACTTCAGAAGCAATCATAACAGCAAAACCGAAATCACCTGCTCCAGATTAACAAACACTAAATGAAGATTTGTTCTTTCAAGTTTCATTCATCACACTGTTTACCAAATCACACAAATTATTTCTGTGCAAATCAGGTGGTCTCTGATCCACTTTACAAAAAATATTAGGCAGTCTCAATTGCCTTCTTTTACGATTAAAGAAGAATGAAAGTTAGGCCAAAAAAGACAACAGGGAACAAATTATGTTATGTCATTTGAACACCGAGCCTCCTATTTATCTGCTCCTCTACTCACATAGTTCGTGGCCCACCAAGATTTTAGCTTCAAATACCACTGAAGCCTTGGTCCCAAATTAAATGCAAAATCTTTGGCAAGACCCTCCATTCTTCTGAACTCTTCATCATCCATAAGTGGACGAACTGATTCCAGATACTAGAATACAGAAAAAGAACTGGCATCAGTACAATAACTAATACATAGGTTCTTGCCATTCCTACACAAAGCAGTTGAACAGTAGACAAAGACTATGCAGACTCAATTCATAATGTTGCAAATACTATGTTGTTAAAATAAGAGTATACACTTGTCTAAACATCTGCCTGCAAACTGCACAAATAAGATCTTTTTCCAGACATTTGTCAGCAAATCACAAGTGGAAGCAGTTACTTTTCTAAAGATATATTCTCCACTCAAAAGGGGAAGACATACTGCTTCTTCAGTTAACAGGCAGAGATATTTTTTTTCCATCTCTAAAAATCAAATCTTCAGTTTCTGTGACCTATTATCCTACTTACAACACTTTGCTATAAGGTTTTGTGTCATAAATCACACATTTATATGTTCAAGCTGTAGAATATAACCAATATATACTTCAAAAGCCCTAGAAATCACATCAACAGACATCACATCATCCAGTATGAATTACGTCAGCTTTGAATTGTCACCAGTTTCAGTGGTTTGTCACAGCCTTTATTTTAATTTCTATGCAGAAGTTTTAATCCATTATAACATACTAATACCACCATGCAATATTTTTATAAGACATGGCAAAAAAATCCACAAGGGCATCTAAATATAGATTCAATGTTACTGAAGAAAATGAATTAATGAATGTACGCACCCTACTGACTGTGTCTTTAACAGCTGGAACTGGCAATCGTGGCAAAGACGTCTGGAAACTGTATAACATGGGTTTACGTCCTGAGAAGAGTTTTACAAGTGCCTGAAGAAAAACAGAAACAAAATACACACCTCAAATTATTAGATTCAACAAAAGAAAAATGATAGAAAAATAAAGTATACATGTAACTCATTTCTTTTCACTGGTAAACTATACGGCACTAAATTTAGCAAACTATCATATTTATCACTGTTTCATGAATAAAAAGGCACTGACATAAACTAAGTTCCTAAAGATTAAACAACATGCCAGTGGAAGAGAAAGATTGTCATAGTCATTCCTGACTTCCCATACAATCTTCTGGGCATTAGGTAGTTATTGTTGTTTATGAAAGGCACACCTTGATCTCAACAGACAATAAAGACATAGCTACTTAGCACTTAGAATCATAGAATGGTTAGGGTTGGAAGAGACCTCAAAGATCATCTAGTTCCAACCCCCCTGCCATGGGCAGGGAAATCCTCCACTACATCAGGTTGCCCAAAGCCTCATCCAACCTGGCCTTGAACACTGCCAGGGATGGGGCATCCACAACTTCTCTGGGCAACCTGTTCCAGTACCTCACCACCCTCAATGTAAAGAATTTCTTTCTTATATCTAAACTAAATCTGCCCTCTTTCAGTTTAAATCCGTTGCCCCTTGTCCTATCACTACACACCCTTGTAAAAAGTCCCTCTCCAGCTTTCCTGTAGGCCCCCTTTAGGTACTGGAAAGCTGCTATAAGATCACCCCGGAGCCTCCTCTTCTCCAGGCTGAACAGCCCCAACTCTCTCAGCCTATCTTGACAGCAGAGGTGTTCCAGCCCTCTCATCATCTTCTTGGCCCTCCTCTGGACTCGTTCCAGTAGCTCCATGTCCTTCTTGTGTTGGGGACTCCAGAGCTGAACACAATATTCCAGGTGGGGTCTCACGAGAGCTGAGTAGAGGGGCAGAATCACTTCCCTCGACCTGCTGGCCACGCTCCTTTTGATGCAGCCCAGGATACGGTTGGCTTTCTGGGCTGCCAGCGCACATTGCCGGCTCATGTTGAGCTTCTCATCCACCAGCACCCCCAAGTCCTTTTCCTCAGGGCTGCTCTCAATCCATTCTC